GGTGCTGGAGAAGAGTGTTGAATATACCATGGACTGCTAGGAGAACAAACAGGTTTGTCCTGGAGAAGGTGAAGTCGGAATGCTCCTTGGAGTCAAGGATTCTGAAGCTTTGTCTGACATACTTTGGGCATGTTGCAAGGAGGGACTGGTCCTTGGAGAGGGAAATCATGTTTGGCAGAGTGGAGGGGCAGCGCAGGAGAGGAAGACCTTTGATGAGATGGATCGATTCTGTGACTGGAGTGGTGGGAATGAGTGTGTTTGAGATGGCTAGGTTGGCACAGAATAGAACGGGGTTTACAGCTCTTGTACATAGGGTCGCTATGAGTCGCAAGCGATTCGATGGCACATAACAACAACAAAAACCTTGGACATCTTTGAGGCATAAGTCCCATCCTTCAAAGGACTCCATCATCTGGGACCCTAAAAATATTGTTCTTATTTTCATCCTTCTTTGTACATCTTTCTATTCAAACTCTGAGACCCAGTGTCTCTCCTGTTCATCACTTGGGCAAAAGGAGATCTCTTTGGACCAAGCTGGACTGGAACAGCTCCTCCAGGAGGAGGACTTAATGTGGCCCAGGTGTGGAAGGATTCCATGAAGTATATGTTGTGGGGGAAGGAGGGGCTTCCAAGTGGGAAAAGAAAGTTTGGGAAAGTAGAAATAAGGTGTAAAGCTTTGGGTCAAGCTGGCCTGCATTCAAATACCAGAGCAGCAACTGCTAGAAGAAGTCATTGAGCTCCTCAGAATCTCTGTTTGTCTGTCTGTAAAATGGATATAAAAACATCAGCTTTTTAAGATATGGTGAATATAAAGGGAGATAATTTGAGGAAAGCATCTAGAGTAAAACCAAAATCTGGGAGGTCATCTCATCTGATCCTGGGGGTCTGCTGGCCTGGCCTCGGACAGAACACTCTTTACTGTAGCTGCACACAGACAGCTCTTTAACCTCCCTTACACTCTCCCACCGACAGGAAGCTCATGACCAGCCTTTGAGGGAGCTTTGGTGGTGTAGTGGTAAGGCGCTGCTCTGCGCACTCTGGGCGAGTGGTTCAAATCCACCAGCCGCTCTAGGGGAGAAAAATGGGCAATCTACTCCCATGAGATTTACTATTTCTGAAAACCTGCCGGAGATCAGCTATGGATGGGTTCAGACTCGATGGTGCGTAACAAGAAAAAGATGCTGAATGATGTTTTTAAAAAGTTATGCTTCATAAATCTGCCTCTGTAATTTCTACTTGCCATCCGGAGCTCTAAGGGGCCTCAGAAACTGGCTGGAAAACTTGTTACTCCTCCTGAAATCTGAAAAAGTGTGGATGGGAGGAGTCGGCTGAACTCCGGATAGAAGAGCGCAGGGTGCCCTGCTAGGGGTCAGTACTGATCTGATGGTGAGGCCACGGGGCTGGTTTTGATCCGGCTCCGAGGGCAGGGCGGGGAGCGGAGCTCCTGCAGGCCTGGCCGCTGCCCCCCCCAGCCCCGCAGCTCAGTGCTGTGACCCCGGGAGCGCGGGGCGCAGGCGGCGGGGAGGCGCGCAGGCCGGGCGCGCAAGAGCCGGGCAGGCGCAGCAGCTGCCAACAGGCTGACTTCCTCCCGCCCGCGCCTCCTCCGCCTCCGCCTGGCGCTCGAGGCTGTTGTTCCACTCCCTGCCGCGCGTCCCGTCCCACTGTCTCCTCTCTTTTCTGGAGTTAAAAGTTTTCTGAAAGCGCCATCAGGCCCGGGGCTGCAGGTCTCTGCTGGTCCCGGACGAGTTCCTGTGCCCGCCGGAGAAGCATTGAGAAGAAAACGGGGAGCCAGGCTGCAAGGGGTTAGGATCGAGATCGGGACCACGCCCGGGTGCGCGAGCCCAGCCTCGGGGTCCCGCAGCCTGTCCCAGGTAAGGAAGGGGCCCTCTCTCAGTCAGCCAGGTAGCCGGGGAGCAAGGCAGAGTTGATTCGGAGCTGCCCAGGTGAATTGTCCAGTGGAGAGTGAGGGCCCTGACAGAGGCCCCCAAGGGGCAGGGGAAGCCCAATACTAAAGAGGATCCTACTTCAGACCACAGTAGGGCCCTGCCCTGTCCTGGGAGGCCACCCTCTGCTCACCACCCACCTCTGCATAGGCTTCTAGCACCAGATTCATCTTTGGGCAAGTGAATCCAGGGAACTAATTCGGAGTCTTGAAACCAGAAGAGAAAAGGGAGATGGGTTTGCATTCTTTCCACTCGTCTCTGGCCAAACAGCAAACTCCCTGTCCCAGGGATCAAGACTGGAATCCAGGGCCCATGACTTGGAGGGATGGCGGGACCCTCTTCCATCCTGACACCCTGACCAAGGCAGGAAGGGGTGTTGAGAGATTTGTGGGCATCCAGCCTTTTGCTCCCAGGCTTCCTCTGGCCTGCGGACCTTTGTTTTTCATCCTTGGAATGGGGAGAGCATGGGGCCACACCCTTGCCTGCCTCTGGGCCTCTGAGGGTGGAGCCTAGAAAGAGAGCTGGGCACGACCTCTCTGAAGCCCAAGTTCATGACCACTTCCTGGCATGTGGCCAGCACCACTGCAGCCGTGACCAAGACAGAGAAGCCTCAGGGTGTGCTTCTGAGCCTTGCCTTCACCTTGAAGCTGAGGTCCTGATGCGTGGAAGAGGCCCTGGTGGGGAGAGAACATGCCATGGCTTGCTCGTCTCCCGTGGGCAGCAGATGATGTTCAGATGGAGACAGAAAACAGACAGCTTAGCGGGCCCTGTCTCATCCTTTCTGCATCCCAAGCCTCCTTAGGCCCTGTCAGAAGTCCTGCCCTGGCACCTGCATATTTGAATGGCCTAAGGCAAGGCGCTTCCTCTTCTGATCTTTGCAGGAAGAAGCATAACACACTAGTGTCACCTCTGACAACGATGAGATCCACCAGGTTGAGGGAGATGAGACAGAACAATTTTTTTAATTTTTATTAGTGTGTGTGTGTGTGTGTGTGTGTGTGTGTGCCATCAAATCGGATCTTACTGGTACAGGAGGAGTTTGCCCCTCCTCCAGCAGAGCATCTGGTGGATTTGAACTGCTCATCTCTGGGATTGCAGTACAGCTTCTTTGCCACTAGGCCACCAGAGCTCACCAAGACAGAACAATTATTAAGCCTCATTAGTTCCCTTTTTTTATTCTCCAGCATCCCTAAGAGGAGAGAAAGGACCAGAATGGCTGAACCTCTTTTCACAGATGAGGAAACTGAGGCCGAGATAAGCCATGAAACATGTTGAAAGCCAGAAATCTTTTAAACCAGTTCAGATCCTGAGATTTGCAAAATGAAGCAAAAAGTTATGTACTTCAGGGATGCTGGGGTCTGGCTGTGTCAGGCTTGGTGCTGATTGGAGGCTCCTAGTCCTGTCCCACCTCACATCACAGGATGTCCTTGTCCCTGTCCACCAGGATATTCACTCCATCTTTTCCATCCAAGGAGTTGGATGTCTTAAGGATACACTCTCTCAGATACCCAGGTTCCTCAGCACATTAGCACTGCCCGGAATCCCAGAGGAAAAGCTTGTTAACATTCCACATTGTGAACGCCATAGGACCATTGTTAATCCCTACCCCAGTGGACAAGGGGTTGTGCTGCCAACTCAAAGACACGCGGTTTGAATCCACCAGAAGCTTTGTGGGCAGTCTCCTGTGTAGTTTACTGCCTTTGAAAACCAGCTACAGGGCCAACTAGGAATTTGATGTGACTCAATGGCGCATAACAACACCCCCCCCCCCCCCGAGAAGTTTGTGATGGCTGAAAGATTCTGACCTGGGCTTTAATTCCAGCTCTGCCACTTACTGACTAGTCACCCGCCATCAGTGACCCTTCAGCTGTGTGCAGTGGGGATAATAGTCCAGTCATCTCTCAGGGGATTGTGAGCATGAGCAATGAGGGGTGGAATGTGATGAGCAATATTGTTGTTGTTTTTAACTGCCACCGGCTCAGCTCTGAATCATGAAAGGCCCGTGCACAACAGAATGAACTGTCGTCTGGTCTTCTGCCATCTTCACAGTCATGTGTTCAAGTCCATTGTTGGAACCACTGTCAATGTCTTTGTGTCTTTAAACCTAGGAGGACTCATCAGACAACATTCTGTCGTGATCAATAGCGTGCTCACTGGCCAGTTTTCTAAGTAAATTACCAGGCCCTTCCTCCTAATCTGTCTTAATCTGGAAGCTCTGCTGAAACTCATTCGCCATGTGTGACTCTGGTAGTGTTTCAAACACCATCGGCATAGCTTCCAGTGTCACAACAGCACTTAAAGACACCAGAGTACAATTGACTGGCATTTGGGTGGTAGCAATGAGCAGTAAACCAGTCCCAAACTCACTGCCCTCGAGTTGGTTCTGATTCCTGGTAACGTTATAAGGACAGGGCAGAGCTTTCCCAGTGGGTTTCCAGGGATGTAAATAGATCTTTATCCTCCTCAGTCTGCATTTTCAGTGGCAAACATCTCTGTTCCACAGGAAACTCCAGATCTGCTGCTGCAGGGGATAAAATGGCAAGACGGTGCCCTGCCTTCAGGTGTCCAACGGCCCGCACCCCTTCTTAGCCCCCCAGGAACCGTCGAGCCCCGTCTCCTGCCACCATCTTGCCGCCTTCACCATGGCAGCTCTGATTGCTGAGAACTTCCGCTTCCTGTCCCTCTTCTTCAAGAGCAAGGATGTGATGATTTTCAACGGGCTGGTGGCCCTGGGCACAGTGGGCAGCCAGGAGCTGTTCAGCGTGGTGGCCTTCCACTGCCCCTGCTCGCCGGCCCGGAACTACCTGTATGGGCTGGCAGCCATCGGTGTGCCCGCCCTGGCACTGTTCCTCATCGGCATTATCCTCAGCAACCACACTTGGAACCTAGTTGCCGAGTGTCAGCACCGGCGAGCCAAGAACTGCTCGGCTGCCCCCATCTTCCTGCTCCTGAGCTCCATCCTGGGCCGAGCAGCTGTGGCCCCCGTCACCTGGTCGGTCATCTCCCTGCTGCGTGGGGAGGCTTACGTCTGTGCCCTCAGCGAGTTTGTGGACCCTTCCTCACTAACCACCAGGGAAAGGCGCTTCCCACCAGACCATGCCAGCGAGATCCTGGCCAGGTTCCCTTGCGGGGAGGGCCCCGCCAACCTGTCAGATTTCCGGGAGGAGGTCAGCCGCAGACTCAAGTACGAGTCACAGGTAAGGAGCTGGGCAGAGAGAAGCTCTCCTTCCTCCTTCTCTGGGTGTGGTTGGTGAAGAGATGCTGGGGTGACCCGGGAACTGAGGTCTCCAGGAAAACACTGGATTAGTGGTAACAGGTTATCAGAGTTGGTTAATCCATAGCCTAATGCTTAGTGAGGCCAGGGTTCATTCGAGTTCCAGGTAAAGGAGGCCACTTTAAACACTGAAGGAACCTTCTTGGTTTCAGAGTGAGGAGAGGTTGAAAGGAAGCAGCAGCTGGTGCCCTGATCCTACCCTGGCCTCTCAGTTCTGAAGGAGCTGCCAACTCAGGAGGCTGTCAGGGTAGAGCAGGTACAGGAAGAGAACCCGGCAGAAGCGTGAAAACTGAGCTCGAAGTGTTGGCTTAATGAAGCAGGGGGTAAGGGAGATGCAGGAGGCTCCCAAAGCTCTCTTCTCTTGGGTATATGAGGGCCACAAGGAGACAGAAATAGGGTCAGAGCCAGGGGAAAGAATAGAAGATGACAGAGGGAAAGCAGAGCTCATTTGATGCCAGTCAAATGCCCACGGACACTATTCAACTGGGGTAACAGATGAACTTGGCCTGCCTTGCCATAAGTGGGTTCACACTCGTGAAAAACATGCACATAGGTGATCTCAGTACAAGGCAGATGATGATGATGATGACGACGACAGTAGGAATCAGGCCATAGCGGGTTTAAGGAAGGCAAGATTATCCTAGAGGTGGAAGGAACCTTGGAAGGCTCCTTGATTTTGATGATATGGGTGGAGGAGTAGGCCCTTGAAGCCAAAGGAAGCAGCAGAAATGGCAGAAGGCAGTCTAAGAACAAGCTCTGAGAAAGCAGAGAGCGTTCAAGGGAGTCATAAATAGGGGGGTGTCTCTGGTGACACAGTATGACCTGAGCCAGGGAAGTTCCAGAGCCAGGAGACCAAGAGCAGGTTCCGCCCAGCCCACCCCTTCTGACCAGCTCCTCTTGGGGTGGTGAGGGCCCAGTACCCTCCCCGCTGCCCCCTCAGTCCCACCCTCTCTCTCTGGCCAGCTCTTTGGGTGGCTGCTCATCGGCGTCGTGGCCATCCTGGTGTTCCTGACCAAGTGCTGCCGGCATTACTGCTCACCGCTCAGTTACCGCCAGGAGGCCTACTGGGCGCAGTACCGCGCCAACGAGGACCAGCTGTTCCAGCGCACGGCCGAGGTGCACTCACGCGTGCTGGCCGCCAACAACGTGCGCCGCTTCTTCGGCTTCGTGGCGCTCAACAAGGAGGACGAGGAGCTGGTGGCCAAGTTCCCGGTGGAAGGCACGCAGCCGCGGCCACAGTGGAACGCCATCACCGGCATTTACTTGTACCGGGAGAACCAGGGGCTCCCGCTCTACAGCCGCCTGCACAAGTGGGCCCAGGGTTTGTCGGGCAATGGCACGGCCCCCGACAACATCGAGATGGCCCTGCTCACCACCTAAGGGTCCTGCTCTCTCCAAAGACATTCCTCAATAGCAAACGGAACCCCATTATCCGATCACATCAGAATGGGGTTTATTAAAGCCATTGCTTCCTGGGGAGGGGGGCCGGGGAGAGGAGCACTGGGTGAATTGGCATGGAAGAATTCTACTCGTCAGTTGATGGGAAGGCTCTCAGACCCCAAGAAATCCTCTCCTGTGGCCACCAGCAGCTTTGGGGGGAAGGACTTTCCCAGAATTGGTCCTTAATGAACAGTGACAATCCTTCCCTAGCAGGACTCCAAGGCTGGGACCCGGCCCCAGCCAGCAAAGCCAGGTGACAGTGACACTCACCAAGTAGGCTCCTTGTGCAGTTAATTTGTGTCTAATTGCATGTGGAAAAATGACTCGGTTACCCAACTGGGAAGTTGTCCTCTAACCATGTATGTATGCCCTTGGCCTTCTTTTATATGGTTAAATTTTTGATAAAGCTTTTCTTAGTATAAACGAGCTTGGTGTCAGCATGTTGTTAGCATGGCTGTGGGAGGAGGGAGCAAGCAGACTGTGGGCAGGACTGTACTGGGGGGAAGGTCAGGAGGGGTGTGATGGGACCCCGTTATCAGATTTGATCTGAGGAATGAATAGCGCTTGGCTTTTCTTGGAGGGAAGCTAAACCTGACATGTTAGGAGTAGCCAGAAGATTTTACACTCATGGAGCAAATTTAACTCTTAAAACTTGAAGTGAGTATCTATCTGAGAACTAGGCCAGCCTGGCTTCACTCTTTTCTACGCTCAGCCCTCAGCTGATCTCCGCCACATCACTTCCCTCTTAAACCTCTGATCCTGTCCTGCTTCCTGCCACTCAGTCATTTCCCATGGAAAAAGCACTTCAACTCTTAGGACATCTCGGGTGCTGCCAGAGAAAGCTTACAGTTCCCTCAGCACAAAGGTAAGAAAAGAACGGGCTTTACAAACCAGCTGCGGCTGTTAGCCTCCAGAACTTTGTGATGTGAAGAGGCTTTGTCAAAGGAGGTGGTGAACACTGTCTCTCTGGGAATTATATAAAAGCTGCAGGGAGTTTGAGGGCTGGCGGATCCACTGGTTTCCTTGCATTTAGGGACTCGAGGAGCCATGGGGCAGCCAATCAATTCATCCTGCTCATGGGGCTGTAAGGAGGCACAAAGAAGCTGTGTGGCTCTTCTCGGAGTCACAAAGCACATCAGCCTTGGGGTCAAGGAAAGAGACTAATGTGTAGCATCTTCCTACCTGCCAAACTCTGTGGCAGCATTTAACAGGCATTTTCTCATTTAATCCACACAACTCTTCAGGGCAGAGTTTTTAACCTCATTTTACACAGAAAGAAAATCTTAAGAGAAATTAGGTAGCCTGGCCCAAGTAGGTCTGGGATGAGCCCTCAGGTGGTCTCAGAGATAACGTGGGTTTGAGTGTAGAAAACCACAATAAAAAGAGCATTAAAATAAAGATACAAATAAAAAAGCTGTATTTATAATATACTGTGGTCTAGACAAGGTGACTGCTGCAGTGGGCTCTTGTGTGTCAGGAAGGTGAGGATGGTGCAGGACAGACTTGGCTCAAATGTTGTGTTCACTGGGTCGCTATGAGCTGTACTTGACTCAGTGGCACCTAACATAGTCAGTGTGCAATAACATTATGATAAAGTCTGAAATAGTGTTAGATATTATACCAAAATATAAGAGTAGAAAAATGGCGCCAACAGATTTGGTTGACACAGTGTTTCCACAGATCTTCAATTGCTAAAAAAATGAAGTAGCTGTGTGTCATAATAAAGCAAGGCACAGCAAAATGAGGTCTGCTGATAAGTCCAGTTTTCTCCACTAAAACCTTGTCCCTCCTGCTCCAGCCGCACAGCCTCCACTAAAGGGTTCAAGGTCCTAGCTGAGCTGAAGGAATGCCCAGAGACTTCAAGATCCGACATGGGAACAGGGAGAGGGCCTGTTCCTCAGACCCTGCTGACGTCACTCCCCAGGAAACTCCCAGGAAGGAGGGACAAACTCTTCCACGAGCTGAACCACTGAGCAGCCAGAAAAGGGCAAAAGATTACATAAACTAACACTTAAAAGAAATCTCAAAATTATTTTTAATCCTGACAGAATTACTCAAAGGGTGCTGCAAAAAAGCAGTACTTTATAAATACAGTTCTCAGGCAACGGAACTTGGCACTTGCCCAGGTGCCTGCGGCTGGGCAATGCCGGGCTGTCCTGACAGGGTCCGGCCCGCGCCGGCCAGCTAGCTCACTGCTAGTCCTCCAACACCGAATTCTTGGCCTCCACGTATTCCAGGGCCTTGGCCTTCACTGCCTGCACGTCCTTCTCTGTACCGTGCTGCTTCTCGTAGTCCAGGTAGCGCTTAAAGAAGAATTTCATTCGCTTGGGGGCCAGGCTCAGGTGAATGACCCGCTCAAAGATGTCCCTGGTGAGGAAGAGCAGGGCAGCATTAGCTCGTGGTCCCAGCTCCCACAGTTCCTGGCAGATACCCATACCCGAATGCTCCGAGTCCAGGCCTCCTACCATCCCTCGTTTTCCAGAGGAACAGATACTCAAAGATGTCCAGGGACTTGTTTGCCTAAAGTCCCACAGTCAGGACAAAGTGCATCAGGGTTGGGGGCGCACTTGAGGTACTGGAGAACGGCTCAGAACAGTGCTGCTCTAAGCTCATGGAAGCACCTCAGGTTCCTCCAAGGCACCTATTCTTTGTAGATCTCAGTCTACCCTCTGCCTCTGCAGAGAACAAAAGTGAGAGGAGGCCTGAGAGTTCCCTATAAAGAGAGCCAGACACAGAGCTAATTATGCGGAAACGCAAGTCTCACAGTTCCCGGGCCAGCCAGGAGACGCTTGCCTGCCCACGGTTCCAGACACAGACAAAAGAGCAGCGTCTGATGGAGGACCAGAAGGTAGAAAATGACCACAAGAGCTCATGTGCCATGCTAAAACTGTTCTACATGAGTTGGAGAGCCTGAGAGGCTGAGAGCTGATCTGTGGGGGATAAAAACCCTAAATCTGTCGGCCCAGACGGAGCACTCAGCCCTCACACAGTCTTCTTACCGCACTTCCTTCTGGCTGCCATGCTTGATGATCATGTCGATGTACACGGACCACACATCCGTGCGCTTGGGGTAAGTGCTCAGGGTGTTCTCAAACATGGCTCTGGCCCGCTCCGCGTCCCCCAGCTGGAACTCGAGCTGCGCAAACTTGGCAATCACATCCACATCTGAGGAAAGAGGGCAGCTCAGAAACCCAGACCCTCCCACAACACGCTGGGCTGCAGGGCATGAGTCTGGCTTTGTGCTTCTGGGCCCCAAGACCCAGTTATGGCAAGTAGAGCAGCACCAGGACAGCGGGATGGGCTGGGAGCTAAACAACAGCATGCTGGACTCTGACCTCAGGCTACCAGTGACACCCCACTCTCCTGGGTCCAGGAAAGGGGGGAGCATAGTTCCCAGGGACAATGGAATTAATCCTACTTGGCTATTAGTTCCCAGCCTTTTGAGTTCTGGCATTTGAAAATCGACAGGCATTCTTTTGCTCAGGAGCATACAATTGACAGAGAAATTAACTATGTGCCCCAACAAGGCCACCCAACTGAGACAGCACCTGTGCATGAGAAGACCCCAATCCTATTCCCAGACCCAAACAAAGAGCCACTCAGGAGAGGAATGGCCGGTGACAACAAGCACTCACGGTCCTTCTTAGGCAAGCACTCGAGGGCTCGCTGCAGCAGGCGGTGACTGGCGCTAGCCTGGCCCCTCCGCAGAAGGAAGGAGCCGTATTTGATCCAGACGGCTTTCTCGGGGCGGAAACGCTTCAGCATGCGGTTGTAGAGCTCACCAGCTTCCTGTGGGAAAAACAGGGTGAGCCGAGGAGAGAACCCCAGTGCAGCAACAACAGGGACAAGGTGCAGTGTTCATGACATTCTGTTAGTGGACCCAGCTCCGACTCGTAGTTCCCCATGAGCCCTGCCTTGTCCTGCACCATCGTGCCCATCTCTGACATGCTCAGGCCCACTGTTAGTCACTGTGGCAATCCATCTTGTTCAGGGGCTTCCTGTCCTTTTCTAACCCTCCACCATTCCCAGTATGTCCCTTCCCTAGGACTAGCCCTGCCTGACATGCCCAAAGTATGTGAGGTGAGGTTTCACCATCTTTGCCTGTAACGAGCCCCTGGTTTGCACGTTCTCACATAGCCAGGCCTAATTCTAGATTCCTGAGGGAGGGAGGGAAAGCACCATGGGAGCCATAAAATGATGCAGGGCTCCCTCTTAACCCTGAGCCAGTAAGGGGTTCTAAGTCCGCAGGAAGGTTTGGATCAGGGGAAGGCGAGGTGGGAAAGGGGGCAGTGGGCCAAGAGGTCATCTTTTGCCATAATGTATCAATCAACAGCCCAAGGAATACACCTCAGGGGTCCACTGGCCCTCCCCCTGCAGAACCACACTCTTTGTCTTCTTCACTCAAACTTCTTAAAGGAGAAGTGAGAGAAATTATTTCCTCTACATGGACGAGGAGGCAGACCTGGATCCTGAGGCCCCAGCCTCTTCCCTCAGCCGGCTGCCGCTGGGATTCCTAGGAGGTAGTTTCAAAAGCCCGACAACCCTCTGGGAACCACCCACCCGGCCTAGCCCCTTACCTGGAATTTCTCTGACGTGGTGTAGATGTCAGCCAGGTGCAGAAAGACCTTGAGAGGCTCGTTGTACTGCACGGCCCGCTCGAAGACCTTGGTCAGCGACTCCTGAGAGCCGTACATGTTCTCTAGGTTCAGCAGTGCCACCCACACGTTCAGTTTCTCCTGCTCCTCTCTGGAGAAGGGTCATGGGCATGTGAGTGACACTACAAGACCAATGAGACCTTGACTCCCACCCAGGAATGTCAACTGGAACCCCTTCCTCCTCCTCCTCGGCTCCTTCCATGTCCCCCTCCCCCTAGTGCAGGCACCAGAGGCCCTGTCTTTACTGAAGCTTACACAGAGGGATCCCTCTCACCCCAAGCACCTGCGCCCGAGGACCCCTGGTTCCTGCCTTGTTCCCAGAACAGAAGCCTAAATGAGTCTGAGCTTTAGGAGGGAAGGAAAAGGGCCTTGAGTCTGTCACCTCGAACCAAAAGAAAGAGTGCGAGAACCGTCACCCTCTTCAGCAGAATTTTTTTTTACGTCTATCTTGAATTTAAGGTCTGTGAGACTCTCTTAATGTTTTATAGCTTTTCCCTCATCCGCAGATTAACGAGACTTTGCGAGGTTTTTGCAAGGGTACATGGAGAGCTGTTTTTCCTACTCTTCTGCTGCTTCATAGAGGCCCCTTACTTATATGTGAGCTCTCCTATGAATGCTACCCTCAGCTACTTCGGTGAGGATGACTATAAAATATTAATGAGCAGATCTATTTCACAGACAGTCACACCTACGAGAGCAAGCCTGGGGACCCAGGGCCCCTGGTGGCAGCGGCCCAAACTGCTATCAGCCTGCCTAGGAGGAAGCAAGCCCAGAACCTGGGGAGACTGGTCCCTCCTCTCGGCAGCCCCCCCACCCCCGCACCCCACGAGCAGGGGAGGGCCCGTCCAGACCTAAAGGAGATGGTCTTGAGAGCTCGCTCAGCCACCACGCGCGCCTTCTCGATCTCAGTGGCCTGCAGGTGGAAGGCCATATACTGCAGCCACAGGATGGAGCTGTTGGGGGAGCTGAGCACCAGCCGGTCAAAGTCCTCCGCTGACTCGGGCTGCCGCCCAGGGTCCATCAGGGCCTCCTCAAGGCGGGACAGTTCCTTCTCTGCCTTCTGCTTCTCCAACACTCTCTCCTTCTTGCTCTTCTTCTTCTGATGGGAAAAGGAAAAAAGTGAGTGAGTTCTACTGCTTGGAGCCTGAGTGGGGCAGGGGTTGGGGCAGAGTCTAGGAGAAGCCAAGGATGGGCAGGGAGGTTCCAGGCTCTCAAGAGTTCTCCACGGAAGAGACACAGAGGCTAAGAGAGAGGACAGGACAGTGGCACTCAGGGCTCCCTACAGAAAGGTCAAGGCTTTGGAAAATACATCACCGTAGCTTCCTGTGGACTCTCGTCCTCCTCGCTGTCTGAGCTGTCGCCTCGAGGGGGCAAAGCCGGAGTGAGGGAGTCCAGTCCCACGTCCCACATGAAGCCTGACGACAGCTGCAGCCGGGGCGCCTCCGCGGGCTTGGTTGGCTTCTCCTGGAGGATTGCAGAGGTGGGTGAGGAAGGCGCTGGCTCCTGCAGCCCCTGTGCCCAGCTACACCCGCAGAAGCATGGACCCCCACTGTCCAGTTAGCCAACTTTACAGCAGTGACTCAAAAGTTTCCTCTGTAAGTAAACTTACTTAGGTACCAAATTTAAAACATATATAGGTGTATTCATAAGCTGGAAGAGATCCAGGATAAGAAAAGCTGTGTGTTGTCAGGCAGCAAGTACCCAATGTGTGGGCACCCTGCCCAAGGACGTGCCCTCCCAGCAGCCATGTCCTCCAGCTCAAGTATTCCCTCTGGCCTTGAGTCAGGTCTGACTCCACCTCTCCAACAGAGCAGAGAAGACATCCCCATAGGTTTCCAGGGCTATAATAGTTTTGGAAACACTGACAACACAAAGGTCAGTAGTTCAAATCCACCAGCTGCTCTCTGGGATGAAATCTCCTTTCAAAAAGACTGAGAGCCCCAGAAAACCCAGCAGGGAGGTCACCCTAAGTCAGAATCCACTCAGCAGCGGGTCTTTACAGAAGCGGACTGCTGCATCTTTATTCCACACAGTGACTGATGCATCCAAACCTCTGACCTCCCTTCTAGTCAGCAGCTCAGTGAATAACCACTATGTCACCCGGGCTCACTGTGAAGTATTACTGCCCTATTTTTACAGCAGAATGTAGGATCTTTATTGCTACCTTCCACTAATTTAATTCCATTCCATTCAACAGACATTCACTAAAATGTGTTTTATACAACCCACTCAATGGGTGAAACAGGGTCCCTGTCCTCAAGGAGCTTGCAGCCGACTGAGGGAACCAACAGTTTGGGTTTCCTACTTTACAGGAAATGAGGGAAGGAAGGTCAGGGCCCCACACTTGGGCAGGATGCTGAGGGCTCCCTCGGCAGCGCAGCTTTCCACCCCCTCAGTGACGGCCCTCACCTTGGGTGGCACAGTTATGTCTTCCAGCTCATCTTCGCCTTCCCGATAATACACTTCCACCCCACTGTCGTCCTCCTCTGACGGAGCAGCTTTCTTCTGCTTCTTGTTCACGCTTTCCTGAGACGAGAGGTAAGAAAAGCACTGAGCCGCCCCTCAGGCCCAGCAGCACCCCTGAGGGTGGAGGCCATGGCCTCCCTCTGCTCCTCCCGGCCCCACAGAGGGCCCAGGGTCCAGGCTCACACAGCCGCCCTCTGTCCAGGAGAAGGTCAGAAGCGGCCTGGCTGCTTTGAGGAGCCCTCGGTCTGCAGGTGAGCCAAGGCCCTCCTCCGAGGCGCTCACCTGTTCACTCCCAGACTCCTGGCGCGTCCGCTTGGCCTTCTTGGTCTGTGGCTGCTGGGGCTTGTGCTCCTCCTTGCTGGGCCGCTTCGCCGCCGCCTGGCCTTTCTGGTCCTTGTTCTCTTTTCTTTTCTGGCTTTTCATCTCATTGCCTGTCTGGTCCCCTCTCTCTGCCTCCATTTCCCTTTCCTCCTGCTCTCCAAGTGGCTGTTCTACGGAGGCAGGAAGCACATCTGGTTTCCCGGTGTCTTGGGGGAGGAACGATAATGCCACCAGGCCCCTCTTGTGATTCAGGCTGTGACAAGGAACAAGGGAGGGTGGAGACTGAGACAAGAGACAAAGTGCAAAGGGAGGGAAGAGGGGAAGGGCTGAGTGCTCAGCAGGACGGGGCCGCCTCTGTAGGGGATGCAGGGTTGCCAGAGCGAGGCGACAGTTACTCAACACTGCAGATACACTCAATCCCACTGAAGTATACATTTTAAAATGATTCATTTTATGTTATATGAATTTCACCTCAATTTAAAAAAATAGAACATGCCAAGCAGCCAGGCCTCCCACCTCCTCATCAGCTCCTAATTCTGGGCCCTGCCCTGCTATCTTGGGAATTCATTCACTATTCGTGGATAGGATGGGTACATGTCACCATGCTTGGTAGACAAACATAAGGGCCACTGTGCTGCTTTTCCTCCCTCCCTTCAGCCCTGACAACAAGGGCCCGTCAGAGGAAGTCTCCCTATCTGCTTCAGGAACAGAGCTGGGGCTGAGAAAGAGGGCGTGGAGAAGGGCCCCCCATCTGAGCACTGCATTCACCACTATCCAACCCATTATATTTAAAGTTTACCTCCAAAAGTTCCAGGACTCCCTTCAGGGAAGGAGGTTTGATTCCCATCAAGGAGGGAAAGTGGGAGGGAGAGAGAGAGCGAGAGCAAGAATGAACCGACCTGAGGACCCTGGCTGTGAGCAGCTTCCCTTCAGGAAGGTGTTTGCTATAAAGGGCTTTCTTTGATGGTTTGTACTGCGAGACACTGGAGTACCGGGCCAAACCCACAACCGAAGGGCCAAGACTGAAAAGAGACAGAGGTAAGAGTCATACGTTCACAAATGTAACAGCAGAACTCACCAAACCAAGAGAGCCCAGACTCCACTGTCACAGGCACCTGGCTTGTAACAAGGCACAAATTCCTGCCAACAACTCAACCAGAGGAAGAGGCTAGGTAAAACTGGAAAACATTAGGAAGGGAACAGCGAAAATACAGCTGAAGGATGTGTTTTGTTTGCCCCACATCAAGGCCTCATAATATACACCGTGTGAGCTACTAAAAGGATAAAGAGAAGATGAGGAAGCACACTAGCAGGGAAGGTCCTGGGGGCCTGAACATTCTTCTCAGAACATCTTCAAATCACGATCAAACAGTCCCGCAGAGAACCCCAAGTCCACCCCGCCACACTCACCTGAGGAGCACCCCGTGCGGCTCGACAGCCTTCACGTAGCCCCGCAGCAGCTGCCCCTCCTTAACGTCCTTGAGGGAGTTAACCTCAGGGTCGTCAATTCTGCTTTTTGTCTCCGGGTTTGTTCTATTGGAACAAGGAACACTTACACACATGCAACTCCTTTTCTGACGGTCAACGGCATGCGTGTGCAAATTTTCTCTGCACCAAAAAGAAAGGGCTGACCAAGTCAGAGCGGTCAAGCCCAAAGCCGTGGCCTTATAAACATGCATTTCTAAACAAGAAGAAAGCTGACCACCCTCATCTACACAATGAGCCAACCTGGAGGGCTCTATCAAACCCCCTCACTAGGGCCACCATCTTGCAATCTTGAGCACACTCACTTTTTAAACTTTTTTTTTAAAATAATGTGTGTTTCTAGCCCAGAGCACACACTCCCACTCTCAGCACCAACCACCGGGGAGAAGGGTGAGTAAGCACTTGAATGGTCGCATCTTTTTCTGGGAAAAGTGATAGTCTGAATAGACAGGGGTCTTCTAGGAATTTGCATGTCCCCAGCATTCCAGATAAAAGAAGGCCGAGGTATGGAGTGGGTGAGCAGAGATTACAGGCTGGAAGCCCAACAGTCTGTGTCAAGGCACGTGCAGCTCTGCCTCGGTCTGAGAGGTCCTCCTCCCTTCTCACCCCCAACAGCACAAGTGCCCACCTGGATGATCGCAGTGACAAAGTCAAAGGATAGTCTTCAGTGGAGAGGACGCAACATCTGAAATGAGAGCGAAAGAGAAGGCAAGGCTGAATTCTGAGCCTCTCTGGAGTCAGCCAAGAGCCGTAGCTTTCACTCCACAAGGCTGACCCACAAGGGCTGGGTTCTACTGTGTAAAACACAAGGACGAGGTATGAAACACAACATATATGAATGAGTATATGCATATCAATTTTAAAAAATGCAATATGATACTTAAAAAAAAAAAACAACAAAATTCTGGTTCTTGATAACCTGCTAAGGGATTCTGGAAAAGTCACTCCTTTAAGGCTCAGTTTAGTAATCTGTCACACAAAATAACACTATATAATTTTTTTTTATGGTGAGAAAAATTTGTATTAGAATTAGCCTGCTGGACTCAGTTTAGATGATCCCAATTTTGTTGGCAACATGCAAAGCGTCATAGGAGCAAATAGAACATAGGCCTTCTTCTCTCCATTAGGCCTAATCAAAGTGTTGACCTTGGCCACATCAATGTCACAGGGCTTCTTTACAGCTTGTTTGATTTGGTGCTTGTTGGCCTTGACATCCACAATGAACACAAGTGTGTTGTTATCTTCTATCTTCTTCATGGGTGACTCAGTGGTCAGGGGAAATCTGATGATTGTGTAGCGGTCAAGCTTGTTTCTCCTGGGGGCGCTCTTCTGGGGGTATTTGGGCTGCCTTCAGAGTCTCAGCGTCTTAGGCCACCGGAAGGTGGGTGACATGCAGATTTTTTTTTTGCTGTGGATGCCCTTCAGGACTGCCTCCTTGGCCTTTAATGCCTTTGCTTCCTTTGGCTTCAGTTTTGGGAGGGGCAGGGGCTTCCTTCTTTGCTTTCCACGCCATCTTCGTAGAAAAGCAACACTATATACTTTTTAAATGCAAGAAAAATGCTGACAGAAGGACATATGGAGGCTTCTAGACGATTCAGATACATACAGTGTACAGGGAAGAGATGAGACCAGCCCTGTATGAGGTCCAGGGAGTTTCTGATCTCAGTGACCAGGGTGATCTATAGACTGTTGAAAGCACACACAAGAGTGAGTAGATGGAGATCACAAAGCGTGGGCACAATGTGGCTGAGAAGAGACACAGCTGGACAAGCAGCACTGTGAGCTCCAAATTTATTTCACCCAAGGTGGTGATTAGCAGTCCAAAGCAGTTATTTGAAAATATAACATCTCAGAGGTACAAAGAATCCCAGGAAGAAAACAATCTGAATTTCCCACTAGACTCTATAACATGGTGATACAGACCTTCAAGCTAGAAGGAACCTCAAGGGATCATCAACCTATAAGCAAATCATTTATTACTTGACAGATGGAGGAACTGCCATTTGGTGCCATCGTAGTAATACCATAAGGTACCATAATGGTCACAATAATAAAAACCAACAACATTTACATTATTATTTAACATAAGTAATTTTGCTGAAAAGATTCTCATATGTAAGCATTAAGAAATGGTCCTAGATTTTTATAAAACTCGTTTCTTTTCTTCTCCCTGGCCCTGGATATTTTTATGCTATTTAGCATTTGAGAACTTAGGTAAGTGGTTGGGTAGCTAGGACATCTGAGATGAGATGGAAAGGGTCAATTTCTCTGCCTCTTCAAATCATATCCACTACTACGAGTGAACTCTGATTCTTAGGAAAAAATCTTTATTGTTTCATGTCGACATTTGCATCGTTAATGCTTGCTGACTCAGGCTGTCTGAAATGTTTCATAATTAAGTCCCTTACCTGTAAAATATGGCTCTGGTAGTTCTGCCTGGTTAAGACATTCATTTGGCTGCTAAACAAAATGTGAATGGTTTAAGCCCCCCTGCTTCTCCTAGGGAAAATGATGAAGCTGTCTGCTTTCAGAAAGATTTACCGCCTTGGAAACCTATTGGGATAGTTCTACTCTCTCCCACCGGGCCTCATAAATCAGATCAATGCAACAGGCCTGGTCATTTTATGGAGAACACAGACAGATGACTAAGCATAATTTCGAAAGATGGTTGTTTCAATAGAAGATGAGCAAATAACTCAGACAAGCAAAGCACAAAGCAAATACAAACAGGCAGTAAAAGTGAGAAATAACCAATGAGAAAAATTAAAATGCTAAGTCAACTTTTATCTATCTAATGGCTCAGAAAAAACTTAGTCTCTAGCACTAGTGGAAGTATGAGAAAAGACAGTGGCATCCACTGTTAACAAATGGGAATATAAGCTAGTAATCAAGGGCAGCTTTACAAAAATGATCAAAATCTTAAATGTATACATCATTTTATGTATACATTTTTCTTCCAGGTGTTTATTTCAGAGATACTTGCACAAACATGGAGACATATACACAAAAAGATTCACGTTAACATTATCATTCATCAATTAAAATAACTGGTTAAATAAATCATGATTAAAAAGACATGAGAAACCACACAACTCTAGTTAAAATGAAGGTGTTCTGGTCTGTATTTTTTAAAGAAATAACGCAAATCAGGTACACTAGGAGAAGAAAAGAAACATTCTGTGATAAGCTAAGAGAAAAAGCAAGCTGCGGAACAATATACAAAACGAAGGTTTTATTTGTAGGTGAAATAAACTGACATCCATATATATGCCGAAGTCTAGAAAAAGAGCAAAATATATGATGGCAGAAAATGATGGAGGGGGAAAAAACCCCTTTTTTATTTTCTATTTAATTTTTTAATTCCATATTATTACTATGCCTAAAATTTAAATTTTAAATATACTTTTCATCAGTGCTCCTGATAGCTGATAACATAAGAAAACATGGCTTACCTGACAATTTTTTGGGGAGTAAAGTCTTCCAGGGGTGCCTCAGAGTAAGAGTCGCTCACATGAAATATGCTTGCTCTTCCAAGCTTCCCAAAAGGGAAGGAGACAGTCAGCCCGTCATTGGGAGTCACCTTCACCACTCGGCCCATGGCCACTTCGCCTTTCTCAAGCTTGTGAGGACCTGGAGGGAGATGTGGCATGAAGAATCTGATTCAGAGAAGAGAAAACACGCCAAGAAAGAAGCTGGAATGCCGTCTTTACAGCAGAGGATGGCAAAGCTGCCCAGGCTGAATGTGGTGAAGAATCATGAAACAGCCAGGGTTGCAGCATGGACAGCACTTTGAGGGACTTGGGAAAACCAAGTGCATAGGAAAATATGTCTCTGAAGCAGCAGACTAACACCAACCATAGTAGAAATTCTCAAAACGAGAAACACTGTTACAAGAAAGCATCAATTTAGGTTTCCTGAAGACTTGAATCGTAAGGGCATCCTTCTGCCTGGGCAATGCCGAAAGCCTCTTTTTTCCAGACCTTCCCTTCGCCCTCCCCTCCTCCCTGACCAGACACAGTTTCACCACACCTATGAGTGAGAGACACAAGAAGGCCTTGGAGGAATCCGGACCGACTACGGTGGCATTCAGAGCCTGGCCAATCTGGAACTTCTTATCTGGATGTTTCAGAACCTGGAAGAAAAGGAAAATCCACTCAGCTTTAAAGGTCCGTCATTTACCCAAAACCACAGCAGTTCTATCTCCACAGCAAGCAGTAAGTTCATAATTCCTTGTACCCACTGTGAACACACATACCAGACCCAAATCATGATGTGGGGGAGAGTGGGGGGCTCCTCCAAGGATCAAGCGTACTGACCTTGAAGCTAAGAGAAGTGAGCAGTAAGGGAATCCTCCCTCGGATGTCCGGAGCAATGTCCACCTCAAGCCATTTCTTAATCACGTTGTACTAGTGGGGGAAAAGGAGAAATGACACAGCAGATACAAACATTCCTTTTGTTTCCTCTCTTAAAGCAATCCTCCTAGGACTACAGGGCTGAAAGAGTACTCAGCCCACATATTCCCCAAGGCCAGGAATCTACCCTTAACCCCAACTGTGGTGCCCAACCTTCATTTCTCACAGACCAAGCAGGGCTGAGGACCTCGCTTTGGGCTCTCACTAGCCTAGCAGTACATACACGCAGTGTGTCGGAGCCTCAGGTGACCAGGAGGCAGAGGATCAATTCCACTATCTGTGAACCGTTCTCTAAACTCACCTGTGCACAGTGACTGTTACCCATCTCCAGGGGCCCACATCTCATTCTTAACTTAGGTTTTGATCTTTCACTGCTTACACTGTGGCCTGTCCTGAGCACACGTCCCACTTTTCAAGTCCATTCAACAAAATACTTCTCAGGCAGCCACAGGGATAAATCAAAGCCAGGCCTTGCCTTCAAGCAGATTCCAGCTTCCAGAGTAAGTCAGATAAATAAGCATGCAAGTAACTAGAGCAGCAAGCAATGTGCAGGAGGTACAGCATGCTCTAAGGCTGTATCTAAGGATATAGAAGAGCTACAGAGCCGTAAAGGAGCAGGCTACTTCAGGTGTGGAATAAAGACAGAAAGGAAGATAGAGAAGGTACTCCGGCTGACTGGTAGACAGGTACATGAGTTCAGGTCATGAAGAGCCGCCTTACAAGTCACCTGACTCTGGCGTTTATGTCTATAGACAATGGATAACAAAGACATCAACCATCAATGAATGACATGCTCTGCTCGAGACGTGTGGAATGCGGCAATAACAAAGGGAATTCTCCCTCAGAATCAAGCTCTGCCCAACCTTCTCTGTGACGAGGGCCATCTAGTGCTGCCCGCTCATCACTTCCCTTTCTGAACTCCTGTTCCACTGAAGGCTTACTGTCTTCACTCTGGTGCTCAGTTATTTCTATCTTGCACCATGCCTGAACCGTATGAAAAGTTTCTTTCCAGTCACAATGAGCCCAGGTGACAGAGCAGAGCCGCCTAGGGGAACACAGTAGGAAACTGTAGGGTATTCCTGGCTATACTCTTTTATGGAAGAGAGCACCAGGTCTTTCTCTCGTGGAACCACTGTTGTTGTTGTGTGCCCTCCAGTCAGAATCGACTCACAGTTGACCCTCCAGCTGGTTTTCAGAGGCAGTAAATTGCTCGTGAGGAGATTACCTATCTGCTGCTGCAGAGCAGTTGGCAGAGTCAAGCCTCGTCCGTTTGGCAGTGCAGCAGAGTTTCTTAGCACTAGGCTACCAGCGCTCCTGTGTGGAACCACTAGGTAGGCTCAAACTACCAACCTTTTAGCTAGCAGCCTAGTGCTTATCCATTTTTTTGCCACCAGAGGTCCTCCTGTTTTGTAAGGTAATCTAAAATCCACTACACCATTTACTTTAAATCTTGTCCTAGGATAATTTTGCTTTCCCTTTTGTAAACTTAAAATAACCTGGGCTTAGTTAAAAATCTACAAACATGTTGAGTTTGGAGCTGCCTGCTAATTTTTTGGAAAGCTACAACTTTAGACGCTCAGTAAGCCCTAAAGTCTCGTCGGGTTAGAAGTATCACCTCCCACAAAAGCTGTGCAGTAGCAAACAGACTCTCACATACCTGGTCCTAATGGCCTTTTGTCTCCTGTGGCTCCCTTCTCTTCCGAAAGAAGGAAATCATAGCATTGCGAGGTATGTGCTACTCACCTTCTTCAAGAAGCAGGTCACAGTCTGGCCCGCCTGGTACTGTTTAATCTTCTCCACGGGGCTAACAGAGTGAGTGTTGAGAACTGTGTGGTCATCCTTCTCCAGCTCACTGTTTGCAGAAAGGCAACAGAAAGAGAAAACCAACTTCTGAACAAGGGTTCTATTTTGAAGCCACTTCCCCTAAGTGGACATTTTCCCATCTTAAATAGTTTGATCCAGGGGTTCCTCTACTGTATTTTAATGCAAATGATGTGTACTATTCAGTACTGGTGCGTTGTGTGGGGTTTTCCCCTCTAAATCTCATAATCCCCTTTTGCTTGCCAAGTATGCTATGCATATTATTTACATGGGCAAGTTATAAGAGAAAATAGGGTACTTTTTTCTCCATCAGAAAATCTGGCTTTTGAGATTGAGAATAACGGCTCTTTAAGGCTTTATGCTCAGAAAGAATCGATTTCACATTGATGTCTTCAGGGTGTGGATCAAAGCTTAACCTCCGAAAGTTGTTTCAGAGCTCCTTCCTATGCACAAAAGACTGAACCAGGACGAAGAAATGACCCCAGGCAAACTGGGCCTGCTACAGAAAACCACCACATTCTCTTCCACCCACATTCTCCCGTGGCGCACTCCTCTACAGAATTCTCTAGAGCACCACCTGAAATTCCAGCTCAGCCTCTAGTGACCAAAGGAAAGAAGAGTTGTTCTTGGCTACACGCTGTTCATGTAGGGAATGACAGCATTCCAGAAAATGAAGTCAATGACAGAAATGGTTTCTTTTTAGCCGATGTGGACAAAGCTGCACTCAGTCTTCACAGGGATCTTTGAACTTCCCACACAGCTTCTACTCTAATTTTCATATCATTCCTCTATCTACTCCTATGAGAGCGGGACAACGATTCCGATTCAACTATTCAAGAAATAAGATGAACTGGACAGAGTGTTGAAGTTGGTCACAATGCTGAATGGAGATTAGAACAGAGGTTTCCTGATTCCAAGGCCCAGTCTCTTCCCACAAGACCAAGCTGTGGGAGGCATTCTCACCTTGATCGAACACTCAGTTCTGGGATCGTTCGAACAAAACTGGGATGACTTATTGGGAGGAACCTGGAAAAACAGTTAAGATGAAATAAATTTCTTATTCTAAGTAACACAGTCATCTGGAAATAAGGACTTCTCTTTACTTCCACCCCAAGCCGAGGTAACTGAAGAAAACCCTCTGCTCCAACACAGCACCACCCATCCGCTAGAAGACACCTCGGAGGATTTCCTTTCTCATCCTCTGCAACAAATGCTAAGAAGCTGGTTCAAAGGGGTCTTTTCTTATGAGGCCCTGATAAGGCTGTTCTTTACAGACTGGATACATTTGAAAAATGAGGGAAGGGTCTAGAGAGGATAAATGATTTAATGAAGATCTCAAAGGAAGTGAGTAAAATTAACAAGGAAATTGCTGGCTAGACTGAATCTTTTCGCCCCTGAGTTTCTCAGGCAAAAATGTATGTTGTAATTAGATTTAAAGTGAGTATATAACTAAGGACAGATCACAACAACTGCTGACACACACTAAGCAATTAGCATGAGCCTAAAAACTGACAGGCTCCTTCTTAATCATTAGACTATATTTTATCTTTAAAAAAACATCATAAAATAGTATTTTTTGGTAAAAACTTGGGAGTTAAAGAACACAATTTCCCCATTTTTTTGGAATCTGCCTATGTTCCCAATCTCCCCTCAAAGCCCAAGACTGACCAACTCCCACAGCCATCCCCCAAAAGCCTCCATACTTGTAAGTCTTCATGTCCCGTCCTCCAATCACCCGGGCGGTGACTGTCTTCCCAACTCTGAGCGTGCTGGTGGGAGAGGTGCCCACTGGAACGTCATCAAGAATGTGGGAGGCATGAATACAGCCAACAAGACCACCTTCCAGCGTAACAACCACATGGGTGGCCTTAACGGACTTCACAGTCCCTGTGACCATGTCCCCAATGGACAAGGTATGCTTCTTTGCGGTCCTTACAACCAGGGGTGGATCCACGTCCTCATCTTCATCCACAGTCTCCGAGTCCTTCCGTGTCTTCCGCATGGTCCTCTTAGCAGCTGGCCCCTCAACAGCCAAAAGAAGACCAGTCACTCCTGGCTGTGTCGTCTTGAGGGTGAGGGAGACCCCCTGTCCCACCTGCAACTTCTCAGAGTCAAAGCGGAAAGTGTCATTGAGGTGAGAGTTCAGGGAGAAAACTGCCAGGTGGCCGGTCTCTAGCACAGAGGCGATGGCGAAGGACTCCTCCAAGTGCTGCACTGTGGCCTGGTATTCGCTGCCTTTCTTCAGCTGGAAAACAAAGATTGAACTATTTCCACTTTCCCTGTAGAACATGGTCACTCACTCATTCAGGGACCCCTGGGGAGGGCTAGTCGAGGGAAACCCCTTGAACTGTAATAAGACCCTCTAGTTAGGGAGCTCTGGTGCCTCGTGATAAGGAGGTGCCCTGCCAAACATAAGGCGCGTGGCCCAAAAGATGGGCAATCTCCTCCCAGGCAATTTACTGTCTCTGAAAACCCACTGAAGGTCAGCTCTGAGTCGGTTCCGATTCAACAGTACAGAACAATGAACCACCTGATGGTTTAGTTATAAGGAGTTGTGCTGCCAACCCAAAGGCAGGCAGTTCAAATCTACCAGCTACTCTTTGGGAGAAAGGTGGACAATCTCCTCCTACGAGATTTACTGCTTTTGAAACTGGTTAGAGGGTCAGCTAGGAGTTGGTTCCGACTAGACAGTCTACAACAACAAACAGGCAAATGACTTCTGTAGCACCCCAGTTTTTAGACCCTGTGGTTCCTGACTCTTAGGTCTTGCCTCTCTACCCAACGTAGTCCCTCCTTCACTCGCTGAATAGGATCATGACTGAGAACATAGTGAGGACAAGGGGTTAAGCCTGTCTTTCTCAAAATCTAAAATATGAATGATTAGTACTATTAGTATTATTTTGTACTCTTTGTCCCTCTAGTAAAAATTATAATTCTCTGTAACATTTTGTACAAAGCTAAGTGCTTAATAAGAGCTTTAGATGATGATCAAATATAGACATCACCTGGAAGGACAAAAACTTCTTGATTTTGAGATTTCCCTAAAGCCCACCCACCCTTCTATACATAAAAGTATACAGAAAGCAAGGTAGGGAAGGGTGCAGGTGAGCGGCCTGGAGGTCGGAATCACAGGCAAATAGATTTTGTTTGATTCAAACTGCATGCGGGGTTTATTTTTTGCTTCTTTCAATAAACTTGTTTAATGTTCTGCTGTGTAACCTCAATAAATTAAGTCATTAAAAAAAAATAAAGACAGCCAAATAATCAAATTACTGAGTAAAAACTGTGTAAATCAAAATACTAAAGGTAAAAAACAAGTTTTACCTTTTTTTAAAAAACAAACACTTAGCAACACTGAACCCAGATATTCCCACCTGGCACACCCAGAGGAGACCCTGTCTCTTGAAGGCTGGGCACAGACTGCTCAGCTTGTTAGTCTTATGCGGCCTACTCTCTAATGCATCCACTCACTTCATCCTTTTATAAACCTCCTTGGCCCTAAGTAGAAAGTGGCTATATAATTTATATCTTGACCAGAGCACAAGTCAGTGATACAATTACCACACCAGGTAAGAGGCACATTCCAGGACCATCTGGATAAATCTAAGCAGTTGGCCGTACTACTTACAGGCCAGGGATGTGACCGTGAGTGGGTGTGGCCATGAAAGCAGGGATGTGGGAGAAGGGAAGCCAAGAGCAAGCTTACCTTTTTAAGTTTTCTATTCACCAAATCCTGGCAAAGGGACACATGTACTTCCAACTTCAGCATATCAACATTTAAGATCACAGCCTTCTTTTTCTGCCCAGATTCCACCTCCTGCCCTGCAGAGCAGAAACCAACAGCATCATCTATCACCCAGTGGAACAAGGTGATGGTGGACGGCACCTTCCCTGGTACAGATGCTTCCTGAAAACCCTGCAAGCTGGCATGCTTTTCCAAAAAAACAGAAGACGACCTAGTCCTCAGTAACGTGAAGCACAAACAGGGAAATCAAAGGCTGTCTCCCACCGTCCAACCCTTCTTTATGCAAGTAATATACAAAGATCTAGATTTGTCCATTTATGACAGTAAATGGACTCACACCTAAACATTCTCTAGAATACTGCCAGTTGTCCTATTTACCTTCCTACAAGGTAGGCATGCCAGTAAGTTCTGTACTGAGAAATTCTGTATCCAAGATGGGGAGCCATGGGCAATGGGTCCCCCCAGTAAGCGCGATGGGCAGACAAAGCCGCCTAGCACTCACCTGCTCGATGATATTTACTGGCCCGCAGGACCAGGCCTGGCGCTGGACCCCCACTGAACACCACAGAGCCATCTTCCAACACCTCCTGCACTTCCACGTCAAGGGTCATCCCTGGGGTCATCTCAGCCAATGTCTGGATCAGTACAGAGTCTACCAGACAGATCCAAAGGAAACAGGAATTAGCAAGAGAAGTAACACTTTCATCATTCTTCTTCTAAATGTACGGTGCAGGACATCATGAAGGACAATGGAGCATTAGACACCATCAGAGTCAAATCTCTTTTTGCAAAAAACGTCTAACATCCTCGAAAATTCCTGTCAGAGGCAGACTTATGCCCACGCTGAAGGTACCTGGCTATCATTCGTGAAAATAGTCAACATATTATCAGAAGCACAAGCTCTCTTTCGGCTTTTAAACTTTCACTCTACAATCTACCCTTTCCATCCTCTTACTCCCACATCTCCACTAGGGTTCCTACACAATGGTTCAAAGTCTGAAGAGTAAGAACAAGAATCCCTCAAGTAGTCTTCCAGTAGGTTCCTGCTCCATTTTTTCACCCAAAATATACTTGGTGAATAAAAAAATTGCAAATTAAGTGAATTTAAAAAAAATATAAACCTGAGGTTACAGAAGGGAAATATGGACTCAAGACTAGGAAAGGAATAGGGGACCTTAAGGGACGCTGGTTGGTCCTGATTTTAATCTTGGTGATTCCAACTTCTCAGCATTCACTAGACGGTGCACATGATGAGTCATATTTCCACTTTTTCTCCCCTCAAATACTTGGGGCTCAACAAGTGTCCCACTAACAGAGAGGCTCTGTTTATGCACACTTCCCACCTGACGCTCCCTGCCCTCCTGCCCCGAGAGGCAGGGCCCTGAGGAGGCCCACCTCGACTGCCCATGAGGCTGCGCACGCCCTGCAGCTCCTCCAGGCACTGGGTCAGAAGGAGGAGGCTGGTGGTAGCCACGTCCCCCAGAGCACAGTCCGACAGCCGTAAGGACAGCAGCATCCGCTCCTTTTCCTCATCGACATTCGTCACTTTCGCAACTACTGTCTGCCCCTCCACAAAGTGGTCACTTGTGGAGGTCACAAATTTGTCACTCATGACCTGAAGGGAAGAGCAGACAGAAAATGGGAAAAGGAAGTAAGGACCTTGCCCCTTCCCACCAAGCCCAAGTACCACGAGCCTGTCCCCCCCCCTCAGAGGAGACAGTCCCCTCTCCCTGGGGAGACGGCGCCCACACACAAGCATCTGAACTTACAGCTTTGGGAGCCAGTCCACTCAGTCCTAAGGGGAACTGGACAAACACGCCGTAGTCCTTGATGCTCTTCACAAACCCCATGAGCACCATGCCAGGCTGGATTTCTGAGAAGTTCTTGGGATCCTGACCACCTTCTACTGCAGAGACTAAGGCTGGCTTCCTAGAGAGGAGCTGGGAGCACTTCATTAAGGAATGTGTGCAGGAACGGCAGGGAACCACTGTCCTCACCTCTAGTCTCCACTCTCCACTTCCACTAGTACTAGGATTCTCTTAGCACCAGCATCACTTGGAACGTCTAAGAAATGAAAATGCTCACTACCACCCCCACTGCACTGCCCTGGTGTCGGTGCCAAGTGGCAGCAATCCTAAGGGACAGACTAGAGCTGCCCCGTACAGCTTCCAAGGCTGTAATCGTCACGGCAACTCGCCACTGCACCTTTCTCTCCTGGATCAGCTGTTGCTTTGGAATCACTGATCTTCAGGTTAGTGGATGTGCATCTAAGCACTATGCCACCAGAAGTCCCGCAGCACTACCCCAGTTCTGTCGTTGCTGGGTACCGTCACACTGCAGCTAACTCATCCTCCAGAAGGTTTTCAGAGGCAGTAAATCACATGGGACGAGATTACACATCTTTCTCCCATGGAGCAGCTGGTGTATTCAAACTGTGCACCTTCGGATTGGCAGCGTAGCTCCTTATCATAAGCCACCCGAGTTCACTATCCCAGGCCTGCTGTTGTTTCTGTTGTGTACAAAAGAGTCAGAACCGACCCAGAGTTGACCCTCCAGCAGGTTTTCAAGGGCAGTAAATAGCACAGGAGGAGATTTCCCATCTTTCTTCCTTGGAGCAGCTGGTGGATTTAAACCAAATACCTTTGCGTTGGCAGTAGAGAGGGTAAAACCAGCCTGCTCTTTGGAGGCAAGGATTCTGAAGCTTCATCTGACATACTCTGAGCATGCTGCAAGATGGGATTAGTCCTTGGAGAGGAATGTCATGCTTGGGAAGGTGAAGGGACAGCACAAGAGAGGAAGACCCTGGTGAGATGGATTGATTCAGTGACTAGGCTAATGTGGGGAGATGTGTCAGAAACAATAAGGTCGGCTCAGAATAGAGCAGGGTTTAGGGCTGCTGTACACAGGGTCACTATGAGTCACAAGCGGCTCGACAGCACATCACTACCACCACCCCCCACCACCAGATCTCCTAGATTTAGTGAATGAGAAATTTTGGGGGATGGGCCCAGCAATCTGTGACGACAAGGCTCGCCAGGTGACCACGATGAGCACTAGTTTCAGAGCTGCTGTTATAGTTCTTTCCTTATTAATTCATCTGCAGAGTTCTGACTCACGCTCACTGCAATCCAGAAGGCTCTGACTCACAGTGACCCTCTACTGGGTTTCTGACTAGAAGTCCTATGGAGAGGGCCAGCGACCAGGGGATTCTGACAGATAGCCCTTGGTTAGCAGTAAGAAGTGGTGGAGTACACCACCCGAGTTCCCTCCGCAGCTTGCTGTCAAGTCACCCACGATTCACAGCAGCCCTGTGAACAGCTGGTCCAAACTCCATCCTATTCTGTGATATTCTCATCATGTCTCATTTTTATATCCTGCTGAAAAGCACAGACTTGGTCACTGATTTGGCTTTGTGGAGATAATTCTTTGGTCAGATGACTTTCTCCTAAATCAGATTTCCAAAGACTGAAGCTTGCCCAGCACTTCCCACCTGAGGGCCCAGTACTACCTTGTTCTGCCCCACAGAGGCCAAAAAAGGATACAACACGTCCCTCACTCCGCAGACACAGGACCCTGTGGAGGGTGTCACCTGGCTGGAGCCAGTGATAAAGCAGCGGGCCATTGGCAACGTGGTCCGACAGGTGAGGGGTAGGGAGAAGCGCAGGGATGTTGTGGGGCAGGACAGTCACCTCCAGCCCATCTTTGGTCTTCTCTACAATCTTCACATCCACCAACTACAGGGAAGAGAAAGACAACCTAAGTGCTTGTTGTGAGCAGGAAACAACCCAGCGTGGAGCTCAGACATCCAACTCCAGAACAGGAATCAGTGACCGGTCAAGACTGGAGAAGCAGCCTTCCACAGTGCCCACCCACAAACAGCAGGTATGCACGTGAACCTCTCCTGAGTTCCTCAGACCTGCAAGCTGGCCCACGGGACCAGGTGAAAGAGAGGGCAGCAGTCCACTGCTGGAAAGTCACAGCATGACAAGGGCCTTCCTTCTCTGGACAGCTTCCATTTGGACGGACACACAGCAAAGGGCGTGGATGAGGTCCAGAGTCCTCTCTCAAGACCCCGTCACAGCTCTGGAAGCTTATCCAGACCATCTTTCCCTCCATTGGGTCCAACAGCTGTGGTCAGTGAAACCTGGCTCTCTGCCGCTGTAAGATGAATTTACTCGTTTGGAAACAAACACCCAGGTACATACCTGCCCAACATGAATGGGTCTTCCTTTCTTTTGACTCCCTCCCTCTTGTGTTTTCTTTGCTTCTGGATCACTCATCAGCTTGAAAGATAAGAACATCCTCTCTTTGGCTGGCTCACAGTTCAGCACGACCACCTTCACCACCTGCGGAGAAGCCCACACACGTGACCACCTCTACGCAGCAGGCACCTCCAGCCCTGGAGCCTGGTGCCCTCCACTAGCTGAAGAGACCCCGGCACATCCTCTAAGACCCTGAAGGAGCAGCGTGAAGAAGAAATGCACTGAAAATCACACAGAAGCCTAACAGATGAACCTTCTAGAAAAAGGAAAACATGAAGAATTTTCCTGGTACAAGCCCAAGTTTTAAAACTTGTTTTTCCTAGAGAAGCCCAGATTCACTAGTTTTATAGCACTGCCCCCTTGTGGTGACAGTGGCCTCAAACAAATTCTAGTACGAAGAAGGCTCCCCAATTTCTTCCAGGTCATAGGCCTGAGGCCATTAAATTGCTTTCAACTATTGAAACTCACTGCCCTCGAGTCAGAACTAACTCGACATTAACTCCAGCAGGTTTTCAAGAGGCTGTAAACCGCACGGGAGGAGGCCCTTCTGCCATCTTTCAGCCACGGAGCTGTTGGTAGATCTGAACCACCAGAGACGTCACCTTTGGGTGAGCGGCACAACAGCTGGCAGAATGTGCCACCAGAGATCCCTCCTGAACTGCCAGCTTCCACAGCTCCTTCCTGACAGGCTTCCTTCGTCTGTGTCCACGCCCTCCACTTTCATGGCACAGGCCCACTGCACTGTTCCCTTAAAAAGCAGCCCTCTCCTCCTCCTCCAATCCTGCGTCCATCACCCTCACCCCACCAAGAGGGAGATTCTCCCAGGGAAGGGGAGGCTTACCTGGCCAGGGTAAAAGACCGTCTCTGGGGCTGCGATATACTCAGTGCTCAGCTCATGCTTGGGCGCCAGGCCTTGCACGTCATTATAGAACTTCACGATGCAACCACAGTCCTTGACCTTGAAGATGAAGCCATGTGTCTGGAGACCGGGCGTGGCGTCAGCATAGCAGGTAACAGCAGGCAGTTCGGATTCAATCAGAGTTTTCTTCAGGGTCATCATCAATGTCTTGGCTTCAGGGTCACAGATCAAAACCTAGGAAGATATCGACCAGCATCAGGTGAGTCCTATCATGAGACCCATGACACGGGACTTGGTAACTTACTGAACCCAAAGGCCATGAGTCATTCTGTGAGAGCCGATTGTCACTTCTCCCTGAAAATATTCTCAGTGGAGATCCTCCCACACTTTCGGCTGGCTGACAAATGCACTTCATGCACAAACTCACTGGAAGCCTCACCCTCTTGGCTCTGCAGCGAAACTCATTATGTTACGGTCTTGTAGCTTCTACACGGCCTTTGCTCGCTCCTGGATGACCCTGCATCTAACCTAATCATGAATGACTGAAGCCAGCTACCCACCTGAGCACTGTGATTGTTAGCTGTAACCTAAGAGACTCAATTACTCTGCAAAAGGCTATCTCCTTCAGGTCAGAGAAATGCCTCTACTTCCCACAATGAATTCTTCACAACCCTGTGAAGTTTCTCTTAGGATACAACACTCTGTTAGAAATCATCCTCACTATAAATCAACAGCTTTATCTGGGTTAGTTCTAAATCTGGAACCATTCTCTCCAGTCCTCCTCTACCTTCCACGTCCTTTGGAGTTGAAGTCCCATATCTGCCAGTAATTTAGAAGAGATTCTTGTCACAGAGCTGAACTGAAACTGGCTCTGCCATTTTATGAGCTGCAAAATGAGGCTAACATTATCTACTTCAGAGGATTATTTGAAAGACTAAATGGGATTCAAAAGTTAAATGATTCGACAAGTGACTAGCAGAATGAACGAGTGGCACAGAATCCGTCATTTACTAGACCTCGCCATCCACGATTCGTGCTGCCCAGTCCAGCCACCTCATCTCTTTCTAGCTATGACTCCATCATATAGTACCAAGTCACACACTGGCTCGCTCTCCTTTCCCAACTAAATCTCATAATTCTCAAGAGCAAGGATTCTTATCAGTACTGGACACACTGCAGGCAGTAGGTGCCCATTTTGTGGTAAAAAGGCCAAAACCCCAGCTGAGAAGCACTGCTCTCTCTTCTCAGCTGGCCAAATCCAAGAGGCCAGACCTCGACTCACCCGGCACTTGACCTCATCCCCAGGGTGGTACTTCTTCTCTGGATTCTTCATCAGGATGTCAGCCAGGTGCATGGGAGGTACCAGGCCCCTGATCTGCTCGCCCACCTTCACGAGCATCCCATATTTCCTTATGGTCATCACTGTGCCCTGCGAATCCAAAGAAAAGATGCGATGATGCCTCCACACGGTCTTCTCTACATCTCTTACACCAGTGCACATGAAAGCTCTTTCAAACCCACCCTCCTGGGTTAACTGTGCCTTTTATTCCTGATCTCATATGGGCAAAGCACACCCACACAATGGTATAGGTGTGCTAAGGTTTATCTGCAAGAACTTTCACACCTTTTTTTTGCTTGAGTATCTATTTTTTTACCTACCTTTCAGAACATTCTCTAAAAGAAGGGACTATAACTCCTAAGAAATCAACACTACCCTGATTTGTTTACTTAGGGCTAAGGGGCTGTCAGAAGCAACTGAAACAGGCCCTAATACTCCATGTACCTCAATTAACATAGAACTGACTTTTAGCCTGTTCTGACACCCGCCATCATATCCTAGGATTTATGATATACTTCCTCTGCTGGGTGCAGTTAGGTGGGGTTCATAAAACCTTATTATCTGTTACAAGTTATCCAAGGAAAGAGAAAAAAAAATTATTAATAGGCTGAAATAGCAAAAATATGACTTTAAATGTATTCACATAGGAATAGAATTAGCGGCGAGCTCTGGTGGCCTAGTGGCAAGAAGGTGTACGGCAATCCTAGAGGTACAAAGTTCAAATCCACCAGATGCTCTACTGGAGAAGGAGGAACAATCTCCTCCTGTACCAGTCAGATCCGATTTGATGGCACACACACACACAAAATAATAAAATAAAATTTAAAAAGGAAAAAAAAGAACAGAGTTAGCCTGTGAACTAAAGAATGCCTGAAAGTGGGAAGTACCTCATTATATGCCTATGGTCTTACCTTTACCACTGCCCCTGGTTTGATGTCATGATAGCTAAGGTACCGGGCTTGAAGAATTGACCTAGAGCAAAAGGAAAACCCAAGATTAAGTAAATTATGGCACAGGATAACATTAAGGGCTATCAAAACCAAGCTTTCAAGAAAGGCAACCCTTGGAGAACCAGGCAAGAAAGACGGTGAGCATGCTGACATGCAGGAGAGCACAGCGCATCCCTGCATCCCACCTCCTTCATCCCTGCATCCTTGCGTCCCACCCCGGCACACAATGACAACAGACTCACGTCCGCAGAGAGAGCATAGGCAGCTCATCCATCAGGCTGTAGTCGATAACTCTACACTTGTGGGTGCTCCCAGGCTTAAACATCTCAGGTTTGAAGTTCTTAGAATCAGAGAGATGGCTGAACTGCAAAGTGAAAAATAATTAAGGATAAGCCAAAGACAACAGATCTGAGTAATAAGAAAGATCACAGAGATGACTAAATGTTTAACACCTACCACAAAGATGCCTGCTAGAATATCACCGCTCATGAAAATAACAAACATGTACCTCACTCCTCTTTATTATCACAGAATTCCTATAAGGTTAGAGAATAATCTAGACCAAGGACTAGTAAACTGCAGCCCACTAGTACCTATTTCTAGAAATAGTTGTACAAGGCCATTTAATTATGTATTGTTTATGATCAGCTTCATGCTACAATACCACAAGACCCTGTACTTCAAATAAGCTTAAAATATACAGTATCTAATGCAATAAGCAGAAGCTCTGGTGGCTTAATGGTAGGGAGCTGTGCTGCCAACCCAAACGAATGCAGATCAAATCCTCTGGAAAGACAGGCAATCTCATTCCCCGAGATTTAACTGCCCCTGAAAGCCTGCTGGAGGGACAGCTATGAATTAGTCTGACTCGACAGCACATAACAACAATCCTTTAAGAAAAGCTTGTTCAAGCCCTGGTCTAGACCCTAATTCATTCTCATGTCAACCATCAAATATGGCAGGTTGGCTTACAGGCATTTTAATAAAACAAAAATTATTCTAACCTCTATGAACTACCTGCCATATTGAGGACCTCCAAAAGTAAGAAACCAGTAACAAGTGTTGAAGGAGGCTGACAAGGACCCCGGCACCCCAACAGCCGTTTTAGTGAGAAGACCCCAATGAGACAAAGTAGCTCCTCACCCGAGCAAAAGCCAGCGCTCCGTCCTTCAGCTTGAAGGTGGCTCCAGCCTTGCTGAAAAAGCCATGTACAGGAACATCATTCAGCACAGCCCCAAGCTGCTGGCAGGAGAGACGAGCGAGTGGGCGCCCAGGTTGTAAGAAGACAGGATGCAAGCTCAGCCGCACAACTTTTGTCCAAGGATGGACCAAGAGGATGCAGGCCTTCACCTGGACAGGAGAAAGGGTATAAGAAGGAGGCAGGACACAGGACGTAAGACACTCTGGAGCCAACTACCTATGTACTAATGGAGTTACATTCATAAACATAAGAAACTGGCTTGTGTAATCCAACAGTGTGGAGACAATTCAAACAAAAGAGGCGCTGTGTCTCACTTAAATGGTGAGCGCTGTCATTCGCCTTGGGCTCACCTGAAACACTCCAAGGAAAACTTGATCTGATCACCGTTACTATTTGTGTACTACTACGTAAACAAATAATGACTATTAAGGAGAAATCACTTCAAAGTGTTATCATCAAGAGGTGGAAAAACAGAAAGTAATAATTTCAGGATTAAAAATTTTTCCTGAGTGGTATGTATTGGTGTCTTCTTCCTAAATATCCACATTCACGGGAGAAAACTTAAAACACAGAGACAGACTGCCTATCATTCTCCCAAAAACACAGACAAGAATAGAAAATCACTATTAACACCTGGTTGCATAACGTGCCGGTATTTTAACTATGTAGTCTCTATTTCACTGCCCCTCATTCCAAAATCTGTTCTATAGCACTTTGAGATGTTAAAGAAAGTTTATAGAGAACTTGGATTTCCATTCTTCGTTGCACATTTTCCTCTCTGCCCACCAAACCCTTAGTCCACTTTTCTCTTTGAAAAAAAATTCTTTCATCGTTGTACAATTTCCCACCCCCACTCCACAGCGAAACTACAGTTCACTTTACTATGCAGCTCTTATTCTGGACTTGTCGTGCAAATAATACCTATTCAAATATTCCCTTTAAGCACTTCTTTCCCTCATCTGTTTCAATGCAGTGTACATTATCCCCTCTTTTCTTAGTTTCCCCCTAATCCTGAAGTCAGTCCTGTTTTATAACAGTGGCATTATGCAGTATTTGTCCTTCTGTGACTGAGATATTTCACTCAGCATAATGTCCTCCAGGGTCATCCATTTTGTATATTTCATGAGTTCCTTGTTTTTAAGTGCTGCATAGTATTCCATTGTGTGACTATACCACAGCTTCTCTATCCATTTGTTTGTTGATGAGCACTTGGGTTGTTTCCATCTCTTTACTATTGTGAACAACACAACAACAAGCACGGGTGTGTATCTATAACACTTTTCAAAGCCATTTGCCTATTTAAACATTTATCTTATTCTCTTATGCTCATCTTTGAAAACACTAAACATTTTAAATTCTAAAAGATGTTATTTTAATTTTTAAGAAATGCAAATTGTTAAAAAAAAAGCAAATTGTAGGGAGCTCTGGTAGCCTAGCAGCAGGAAGCTGCACTGCAATCCCAAAGGCATGTGGTTTGAGTCCACCAGATGCTCCTCTGGTGAAGGAGGGGCAACTTCCTTCTGTGCCAGTCTGATCAGATTCAACAGTACACAAAAAGAAGAAGGAAGGGAAAAGGAAATTTTAAAGAAGACTATGAACCAAAAACGAAAAGCTGCCTTGTCTTTCACTCGCTTCATCTCGGTCTTCAAAGGTAACTACTGGTACTATCCTGTGCTCTCGCCAAGAAGTTTCTTAGTCTCCTTGCTGCACACCTGAACACTCGGCCTTGGAGTACACCCGAGAACAGGCTGTGATACTAAGAAGCTGGCTCAAACAACCAGAACCAAAAGAGAAATGGGTGCAGCACTTCTTACTGTTTGGTTTGAAGAATAGGTTCCAATTTTCTTGGGTTCCAGATGCATAAAGTCAACCAGGCCCGTGAAGTTTGAGAGGAAGTTTACTGTGAGGCCAAGTGGAGTCACCTATAAGCAAACAGAGTGAGAGGTTACAAAAAACATCTCTCAGAAGGAAACAGAAATGTGAGAGACACTGTTCACACTACACATGGTAAGGTCAAACACTCAACCCCTCCTCATCCTGGTGTGTGCCTTTTCCCCTTCAGTGAACCTTATCAAGCTTTCTTTCTGCAAAATTAAGTGGCGGAATAGCATTACTGTTAAATGGCTGCTTCCTTTTTTCAATAAGCTCACCTCCTTCCTAGCTTAAGACAGACCGTCAAGGCTCCTACTGTCTGAGATCCTAGATGGGCGGAGGGTACTTGGCATAAACGTCCTTGGGGAAGTAATAATCTGATACCAAGCTATATATACTGCTGTTCACCTGGTTGTTTTGGTGCTCTGGTGCCCTACTGGCCATAGAGAATTGCTCTGGCAAACCAAGACAAGTGGTCTGAATCTTGTGCAATTTACAGCCCCTGAACACCTCCTGGAGGGTCAGCTATAAGTTGATTCCAACTTGATGGCAATGAGTAACAACCTGGTTTTCTTTCTTTTTTTTTTT